TGTGTGTGTGTGTGTGTGTGTGTGTGTGTGCGTGCGTGCGCGCGCGCGCTTTAACCTTTAGCTCTTTTGCTACATTTCACTTTTAGACAGAATTGTTTCCAATTTTAATCAGTGTTTTGCTACTTTTAGCCTTTAGCTGATATCTGGCTATATTTTGCTTGAAGCTTTTTTTCTTTTACTTTTATCTTGTTTTGCTACTTATGGCTTTTAACTAACCTTTGTCTACATTTTGCTTTAAGCTACTGTGTTCCCACTTCTGTTTAGTAGCTATTTAACTACTTTTAGGCTTTAGATGGTTATTAGATAAATTTTGCCAACATTTTCCACTTTTAGCTAGTTTTTTTGCCATTTTTTGAAGTTATKTTGCAAATGTTTTTTAATTACGTTTTGCTACTTTTAGCCTTTAACTATAAACAGATAAAAAGTGATCCTCCTGATTATTTTATTAGGAAGTAGTTAGCCACTTATCCTAACCTAACCTTTGGCTATAGTTTTTTTTCTTTTTCTTGTTTTGTGTAGTTGTTATGCAAATTTTAGTTTTCAGTGTTTAGCTACATTTAGGCTTTATAGCCTTTTGCTGTAGAATTAGCTGTTTTTTTTGTTGCTTTTAGCTTTAAATTCAGTTTCATCTCTGCATTTTCACAGAAAATATATTTTTTTCTGATTTGTATTCATTTTTTATGATTAAAATTTTCTCTTGACAGGTTTATAAAACTCATGATTCAGTCTGAAGATGTTTTCAGCTGGTAGATCTTTTTTTTTAAAGGGAACACATTCTTTAGTCACACTTTATTGTTGCTTATTTCTGATCTAATATTCATGTAGAAGTTTGTTTTTTGTCTTTGGACCCCCTCCTTCCTGTCCTGACCCGGTCCGGTCCAAAAGGCGCATCATGTGGTCCTGATGCGACCTGAGCCGCATCCAGACTCACTGTCCACCGCTGGCTGCTGCCTCCCCTCCCTCCCTCCTCATCCTCACCCTCCTCGTCCTCCCGGTCGCTCCTCATCTCGGTGCTGTTGTTGTGCGCAGAAAAAAAAAAAAAAAAAAAAGGCAGCTCCAGCGCCGGACGGATCGGACGCAGTTCGGACGGAACCGACGGAGCGGCACTGCGGAGGGAGATGAAATCAGAAAGCAGACATGGATGTTTAACCGGCTTTTTGCTTTTATTTTTTTAATCCTTCAGACCCTTTTTTTATTTAGAATTTTTATTTATTTTCATGATGTTGCTCGTGCTTCTGGGGTGTTAATTAAGAAGCTGCTCGATGTTTCTCATCAGTTTCTAACCGGAACAAAATGAGGATTTCTTCTCCCGCCTGGATTCTCTGGATGTTCCCGGGCTTTTGGGGACTGACTATGGGAGCTTTCCCGAGCAGCGTTCAGATCGGTGAGTGTGTCACATCTAATGGATCCTGATGATCCAGGTGTGGACGTCCTGTAGAACCTCTGGTCCGGTCCGGTCGGGATGACTGTCTGTGCGCCTCTCTATCTGGATCCTGGTGCGCTCCGCCACTGCAGCAGATCAGAGCAGCAAACTGTGTGTGTGTTTGCGCGCGCGCGTGTGTGCGTGCACGTGTGCATTGACGGCTTTTAACACCGCTGGAGACCTCCGGGTCCTGGTGCTGCTGCAAACCACTTTCAGTCATTCCCACCTAAAGAGCGCCTTTTCCCTTTGATAAAAACCGACTGCATGTCGTCATTTAACAACTTCACAGCTCGTCTCGTGGCAGGAAGCACGCGTGAAAGGTTTATGGTTTTCATTTCAGCTGTCAGTTGGGTGAATGGGGTACAGGGACTGGAAAGAAAAGGCGAACTGTGACCTCCAGTTGTTGATCCAGGGGCGCATTTAGAAAGCTTCAAAAGGGGGCTCTTTGATGGGGGGCCACCATAGAGCACATTAAAACCCAGAAGGCTGATTTATTAATGAAAATTATACATAGACCAAAGTTCATATGATCTGCCATGTTGGGCTTTAAGTCCTGCCCTCTCCCTCCCTCCCCACACCCAATCATGGTGTCACATGACCTTCCTATCTGAAGCAAAGTATAAACTTTTTCTGGAAACAGCCTGTGGAAACACCAGTTATATTACAATTTGATATTATTGATTTGTTTGGATGAAGATACGTTATATCGGTATATCAATGTATCAGTTTATCAATATATATATGTGGATCAATGTATTGTTACACCACTAGTGGGAAGACCTGCTCTGGCTTTGACTTCCTGGTTCTCATTTGGTGTCCTTATTGTCAACCGGCAAGAAAGCAAAAAAGTTATTTTAAATATAAATATTAATATTAGTCAGAACTCAAACCAAGAAGGTGCTAGCCACAAAATTTGAAGTCATAAAATTATGTTTATTTGTCCACAATAATTTTTATTGAAAACATTGTTCCATTTTAAGCTACAAACTATATTTACATGTTCACAAACATTGTACTATTACATTGCTTCATCTTTTAATTTGTGCCACAAAACCAATTAACAAGATCAATCAGGATTTTGCCAAACTCTGCCCATCCAAAACCCTCTGCTTATTTTCCCCACAGTTGCATTCAGGAACCATGGGAGCTGGAAACATGAWTGGTTTTGAAAAATAACATAAACTATATTTTAATCATTATACCAGTGAAGTTTGGTTTATTTTTTCAATTTTCAGTTTTCATATTTTTAACATACCCAATTTACAGTAGCTTTAAAAAAACATGACAGAAATAGTAACAAGATTTATTTATTTGTTTTAAAAAGACTGTAATTTGGGAATAAAGGGCTTTGATATTTTAATTCACATTTATTTTATAGATTAAATTTATATAATCTCCTGAGGCTGCACCTTATATTATTATGTTCAACTTAAACCAGTTCTTCAGGAAGACAAGCTTTTAATTTACATAAGATAAGATAAGATAAGATAAGATAAGATAAGATAAGCCTTTATATTCATTGTACAGAGCACAATGAAATTACAGTTCAGAACACCCATTCAGCATGAAATATGGGTAACTTTGATTTTGGAATCCTTTTAATGAAATTATGCACATGACCTGTAGGTTTCTTAAGGTTTTTAATAATGACATAAATAAGTGAATGATCCCAGATTGAAGTATTTATAACTCCAGATATGCCATATATGGAGGATCGATTTGTGAAAATAAGATCCAAAATGGAATTGCATGTCTTGCCAAATCTTGTTGGTACTTTAACTGTTGAAGCCCTGAGTTTATAGACATTGCTTTCAGGCCTTTGGAAGTTTTATCAGCCCAATTCATATTGATATCACCAAGAATCACAAACTCTTTTGATTTTATGCTTTTTACAATGTCAGTGAGCTGCGCTAAATATTTAGTTGAATTAACACTTGGAGGTTTATATGTAACAACAATCGTTACTGAAAGGTGATTTGTAAGCTTGATTTCTAATTGCAGAGATTCAGACTCAGTTGACAATTCCATTATAGAATGTGAGTATTTCTTGTGAACATAAACTGCAACACCACCTCCAAGCCTATCAGTACGGTCTCTACGATACAATGAATAATTTTCAACTGAAAGAAACGAATTTGGTACAGCAGGAGTCAGCCATGATTCTGATATAGCCATAACATGTGCTTGTGTCTGAGCAAGTATTACTTTGAATTCATCCAGTTTAGGTACAAGACTTCTCATATTTAAATGACAGATTTTAAAGCCTCTAATTTTACCTAGTTGATTTAGCATCCCTGGAATTTTTTTTAGACAGGAAAATCGCTTTTGCTTTCTTACTGATGTAGTGTTCAGACTTGACATAACAGGAGGTTGTCTAACCTTTTCAGGATATAATATAGATCCCTGTGTAGACTGTAATTGAGTTGGATTTATATAAGATACACCTGTGCACAAACCCAGGTCAAGATAATTATTAAAAATATACAGTATGTACAAAATCCCATAAAATATTAAAAAAGTGGACATAAAAACATTTTTATCTGGACCTGGATTAAGTTCAATATTTCCAATGACTAAAAGAATATTAAACAGAAGTCTTAAATGTTGTTTCCAACTGGTTAAAACAGAGTCTGTTATATCCGTGCCTTTAGCACTAAWGTCTTTTGTCCACTGATGAAAAACAGTAACATAGGCCGAAATTACTACCCGATCAGGTGAGGTTCTGAAGCCAGTCAGTAGCTTGCTGTTCTTTTCTTCGCTGGATGGCGCACACTTCAAGGCTTGAATAACATGGTTCCCACCATGTCGGACACGAGCATGCTCACCAAAACCAGTAGCTCCAGTTTGATCCCCAACCGAAAAACAGGGCATGGCTGATATTGATCCAAATAGGCAACAGGGAAGCTGGTATGCCTCACTTGTTAGATTAGTCGCTCCGTCCCGGCTCCCACCTCCACGCGTCCAGGCCGGCAATCCACCCCAGGCGCTCCGTCCAAACACGAGGGACAATCCGAGGGCCGAGGGACTCCAYCCACATCCGCCACTCCACCGAGACACGCCGCAACAGCAGCAAGCCGGAGAAACCAGCCCAACCGGCAAGATGATATTTACCAAAGTTAGGATAAGTTATGGTCGATGCTTGTATACACGTCATAGGACGCTTGTGTGCTGTTGTTTTTCGAAAATGATGTCCGTCATTTGCGTCTTTGATCTTCTGTTTATGTAGCATACAGAGTAACAGCAACACTAAAGCTGAGGTAAATTTGGTCAAAAACTGACCTGCAGATGCCTGTAAAGCCAAATGGGATGTATTTTCCTGCAGCGATACTGCACAGCTACATACATCTGCCGCCACTGCCACCATCTTTGATGTCATTATGAGATCCTTCTAAACCTAAACAGCTGAGGAAAATTAAAAATGTCCACCAAATGAAAGCCTGGGACTCGTTTAGTCTTGAGGGTGGTCATTGCCCCCCTGCCTCCTGTAGTGGTCTGCCTGTGTTTCCCACCACAAATAAAACCTGTTCCTGTTCATTATCTGRCACTTTGACACACAAATTTACTCTTCAATGAGTCTGATGATAAATGACAGGTTCAAACCTGAAACCTGTCATTTGTTGTTTTAATGTTCCAACAGTTTTCTTTTTCCTTTTCTTTTTCCGCGATACTGAAATCCCCCCACTGCCCCCTAAGAGGCCAAAGTTCAGGGTTTGTTACAGAACATCTTTATCTGAGCTCTGCGGGGGGACGAAACCYGTAGAAAGCGCTTTGCAATCATGTCGAGCATTTATTGTTGCTGATTTAAGCAAAGCGCTGCACGTGCCCTCAGCTGTTTCCAGCACAGTCTCCAGATATTTRTTTATACTCATAATCTCTGCTGATTATCATTCGCTTTAAACCAAAGMGCTGCCAGATATGGGAAGTGCTGTTCGTGCAATCCCTCATTCGATGCTTCTCCAGCCTGTCCGACCTGCAGGACATGAAAAATAACAATAAATTCCACCGTTTGTGTTTTTCAGCAGTGGAGCTCCATCAACCTTCTGGGCAAACGTGTCCTCAATCATCACTTTTGTTTCAAATGAAATGAAAATAAAGGTTATTTGCAGCAGGAAACAGAAACGAGCACTCACATCGATAGGAATCCATGCTGCGGATTGGGTTTGTCCCATCATGCATTGCTCACTGCAGGAAGGAGACCTGGGGCGTGTTTTTGATGGGAAGTTTGTCCGCTTCATCCTGATAAAACAAAACCAGGTGTTGCAGTTTAGAGCTTYAGTCTGATTCTTTGTGCTTCCAGCAAACTAAGATTTGATATTTTTCTTTAAAGACTTGAACATTCATTAGTAGAAATGGTCACTAATGAATAATTTTGACCTTGAATTTTGAAAACCACATTGCATTTCCTCCCTGAAGTTTAATAAGTATTATTTTTACTGCTGAAACAAAATTTTCATGAGAAATGACAGAGTAACATTTCTTGAATGTTGTTGCTTGATTGYCAAAGTTTTCAGCAAAGTTTCCTCTTAGCTACCACTACAACAAAAWTTTAGGACAATATTCGTAAAAYAGACTGGGTTAAAAATGTTAATTCTTTTACATCAGGAGTTTGTGTCTGCATCACACRTCTGCGTTTCTTATGAGCTGTTCGTGTCGGTTTGATAGTTTGCTGTTAGCTAAACTGAATTTAGCGGAAGCTGCTATGCTAATCCAGGGGTTTTCAAACTTTTTATTTTTCAGCCCACAAAACAAAAGTTGCAGAAACTTCTCACCCCAGATATCACTGATTACGTGTTCAAATGTTGCTAATAGTTCAGTTAAACATAGAAACAACATGAAACTAATACTTATATTCATCTATGATTATGGTAATTTATTTATTTATTTATTCATTTATTGCAATAATTCTAGAGAAAAAATTACATTAGCAGTTTATTTGCATTCAAATTCATGTCTGGAAATAATCTGGGGACACTCACTTGATGCTTCGGGACCCACAGAGGGGTCCTGACCTCAGCACTGGGAGCCGTTTGGCTTATAAATTTTAAAGTTAGTGAAAAAACKATTCTGCTAATCGAGAAATTATTTCCCCTATTAGTTGTGACCATGCCCACTTGTGGTAGCTGCCATCTTGAATTCTGATCCCTCTCACTTTCCGACAGGGAATTTTCGCTTGTCTCTCTTTTCTCTAGAGGAGGCTTTACAGTTTAAATTTAACACTCGTAAGTGGGAAATTCCCACTTCCCAGTACAACAAGGTGGCAGCAAAAGGCTGTGTCCAAAACGGCAGGACGGGTCCTCCGAAGGCCGAATGTGTCGGCCGCATACGTCACAGCGC